CTCGGCGCGTCCAAGCGCGAGAATTCCTCTGTGCTTGTCGTGAACGCTCCAGCGCTGCCCTGCACATCCGCCAGCAGCGCTCTTTGCCGCTCAACTTCTGTCGCCCGCTGCTTCTGCCGCTTTGAGCCGCCGCTGGCCGCTTCGATTGGCAGTGGCGGCGGCACATCGACTAAGTCAGGCGACAAGAGCGCGGGAGCCTCCTCGCCATCATGGACGACGCTGAGCAACACCGTGCCTGCGTCGCTTGAGCAGGCCGCCATGGTATGGTGCAACGGCGCGCGGCAGGAAAGAATTTTTGACTCGAAAGAAAACAATTGCGGCCACTGGGCACGACGGGACTGGCGCGCACTGGCACTTACACATCGCGGACACTTCTTGCCTGAGACGACGTTGTCCTAATGGTCGCGGAAGGAGCGGCAGGTCCTTACTGTCCGGCTCAGCATTGCTGTCATCCTTGGTCCTTGCTTGGTTTTGCTAGGCCATTTAGCATTTTGGCAGCAATGGCAGGGTGTCTGAACATTGCAATACGTTATTAGGGTTAGCGGTACTCTGTACCTCTTAGGGTTAGGGTTAGGGTTGGAATTCATATACGACTATGTGTGTGTGTGTGTGTGTGTGTGTGTGTGTGTAGGCATCAGAAACGACTGCAGAGGCAGTCTGGTAACGCAGCCTCGGCTGTGGCCTCGACTCCGCTTCGCCGGCTGGTACCGCAGCCTCCGAGAGCGTCGACGGCCCGGCCGGGGTCGCCCCGGGCGAGAACGGTGGCATTGGGTCACACTCACTTCCACCCCCGGGGGTTCAGATGCCCAACGTGCGAGCGAGTCTGCTCCCTACGCGGTCCCAGAGTTTGCCGCACCGGTCTCGGCTGGCGTCCAAACCGCAGGCGACCCGCCTTGGCCTTCATCTCTTGTTGATGGGCGTCCCCGGCCTCTTCTCCTGGGTGCGGCGCCAGTTCCCGGAGGCAATCATCCCGGAGGAGGTCTGGTCGAAGTCGTCGCCCGCGCCGGTCTCCTCTCTCTTCGTCGACCTCAACCACATCCTCCACGCCTGCACGCACCCAGAGTATCCCTACGAGGAGCCGAGCAGCCGCGAGGCGATGCTCGAGGCGATCCTGCTCTACATCGAGGCGCTCCTCGCCCTCGTTCAGCCCACCGACCTCCTCTTCATCGCTGTCGACGGCCCGCCGCCACGCGCAAAGATGAACCAGCAGCGGTCGCGACGCTTCCTCGCAGCGATGGAGGCGGCCGACCGGAAGCGGATGCAGGAGCAGGCGCGCACCGCACTTGCGAGCCTCCTCGTCCCGCCGGCCGAGCCCAAGGCGCGCACCGCCACCGCCGTGCGGGCGGAGCTGAGCCGGGGCGTGTGGGGCGCTGGCGGCGGCGGCAGCGTCATCGCTGCTGCCGCTGCTGCTGCCGCCGCCGCCGCTGGAGCTGCCGCTGCTGACAAGGCGGCGGCAGCGAGCGTGTGGTCGTGCCCCGCTTGCACGCTCGTCAACCCGGCCGCACGCGCGAGCTGCGACGCGTGCGGCGGCGCGCGGCCTGCGCCTGCAGGTCAGTGAGTCAGCTGCTCAGTTTGACACACGCCCTGCACACACATGCC